AAGCGTAGGAGATCCAACCTTTCATGAGGACGCCAGTTTGATAAAGAAGCTACCTGCATCCAATCATACATTAATACCGATAATCACAGCCCACAATATACTCGTTTTTAATAATGAGAATCGTCTTTGATATGTAAAGTGATACTATTATGCATCAAAAGGGAACATAGGTATACTGAACACAAGAATAGGGGAAGAAACCATTCTAATGTGGCATCACATAGACTGAAAATTTTAATGGCTTGAATAAGGATAAATGGTAACAAGTAAATAAGATATGTTGATCTAGAGATAAAATCCTTCCCAAATGTTCCAAGCAAAAGCTTCCTAAAGATGAAATTTGAATATGACAAACATTTCAATGGAACAAAAGGTTTAACCTAATAAAACTAATCTTTCATTTCCAACCATTACAACTAACCACCAAATTGAAACAATGCAATCTCAATCAAGCAGTAATATATTCACCCAAAATAATGGAAAATCTGATTCAGGATATTCTTAATGGTCATCCAAGTACCTATTATAGAGGACTAAGAGATTTAAGTTATGGAGATAACCCATTGAAAACAAAAAACAAAAAAGAAGGTAAATTCCGAGTTCATTCAATTCATGTCATTCCTGAGCACTTTACCTTGATGTGCTGCTCCCTGTCCATAACCGAGCATACTCTGCTGCATTATTTGTCAATTCCTACAACTGGACATATATAGAAGTTAAACCATGTAAGCGCAACCAATATGAGGGGGAAAAACATGGAAGAACTTTGTCCTGCATCTTCCTCCAGTGATGCATGTTACACTTTACAGGGCCTTTTAGCAATGACATTACTAGACTTATTTCAGTGACAACTATAATACATATGAAGATTTACAACCAAATTCCATTAGGTCATGTGTCACATGTGAAATGAGATGCCTTATCCACAACACTTTAAGCTCTGCTTATTGTATCTCAAGTTTTGCCAATTGAAGTTGAAAACTATGCAACTTTGCATCTAGAAAAATGTGTGGCCAATTTATTAATAAAAAATTATAAAAATTAAAAAAAAAATCTCAAAAGCATTGTTAAGCACCAGATCAAGTTTAACTCAAGTTTCTTACTATTCTCTACAACAAAAAATTTAAAAATAAAATATAAAAGAAAAGAGCACACTCCAATAGAGAGATTAAAGCAAACCAAATTGTTACGAACTTACGTATGCTCTCTCTATAGACCTTTCTGGTGGATATATGTCATGTACCCATACGGTACCTGAAGAGCACATCAAAAGTTGAACAAGAGCAGTAACTAAAGATCAAATGAATGGCTAGACATCTCATAAGACAACTCAACCATCTTGGTCCCAAGATCGAATTATACGAAACCGTCGGCAACTTTCAATCTGCATGAAAAAGTATTATTTTAAGTATGTGAATTGATCATTAAAAAACACATCATAACTTCAAACAAAATACATTCTAACATGGAAATATTTATCATAGATAAGCCTATTAGTTAATTTGCAATCTCGGGTGTATAAAAAAAGACAAAAAATAGAGGATAATTGTTCATTAAAGTAGACGTGGCCAGCGCATAGGTGCCAATGCCATGTGTCAAAACAGTTTTTAAAAAAGGAAAAATGCGTATAGCCGTGCGGCTATACTATTTCTTTTAAAAATTCAAAAAGAATCTTTATCGCCCGGCGCCTATGCGCCACGTGTCAAACCAGTACAGCCGCGTGGCTGTACTATTTTTTGTTTTAAAAATTTTAAAAAGGAGTAATGCTGCGCGGCTATGCTGTTCTTAAAGACAATTGGGGAAAGCTTAGTATAGCCTATTATTTTTAGTCGATAGTATGTGAGAATTATGCGTATAATACGTGAATTTTGTGTGTGTTATTGAAATTTTTGTAAAAAACAGGTGTATGAAACATGAGAAATACGTGCGTACGTGTATAATACATTATTAAACGTGAAGGTGCTAGAATCTTAATACGGGTTAATAACTCTAGAAAAGTAAAAAATGAAAAAGGGATAATAGAACTCAAGTAATGGCCTAATAGTAATGGATAGGGCTCTTGGGCTATGGAGAAATTTAATTTGGACACCCAAACAATTAGACAAAAGACTTAGTAAATAGAAATTAATTATTTTGTGGACTTTTTCTATAATTTTTTATATTGAATAACAATTAAAATATAATTATTAATTAAAGTGATTCAAAAAGGCTAAGATATTACTTAATTACATATATTAAATTAAAGAAGTAGGCCAAAAAACAAAAGTAAAGAAACTAATTATATGTTTTTTTTTTAAAGGAATTAAAATTTAGTTTTAAAACATATAGCCGCGACTAGGACGTGGCCAGCGCGTAGGTGCCAGTGCCACATGTCAAAAAAAATTTCAAAAAAGGAAAAACGTGTAAAAAAATTGAAAAAGGCTATACTATTTTTTGTTTTGAAGATTTAAAAAAAGGAGTAAAGCCGGGCGGCTATACTATTCTTAAAGACAATTGGGGTAAAGCTGAATTACAACTAAAATATAATTACTAATTAAAGTAATTCAAAAAGGCTAAGATATTACTTAATTACATATATTAAATTAAAGAAGTTGGCCAAAAAACAAAAGTAAAGAAATTAATTATATATATATATATATTTAAAAAATTTAAAAAAAACTTCTCCCGACGAAAGCTCGTCGGCACAGGTCTATGCCGGCGAAATTGCCCGGATAAAATTTTCTTTTTAAAGGCTATAGCCGCGCGGCTATACTATTTATATATTAAATATATCAAATTATAGAAGTAGGCCAAAAAACAAAAGTAAATAAACTAATTATATGTTTTTAAAAAAAAAATTAAAAAAATACCTCTCCTGACGAAAGTTCGTCGTCACAAGTCTATGCGTGCGAAATTCCCCGGATAAAATTTTCTTTTTAAGGGTTATAGTCGCGCGGCTATACTATTTAATTGTAAATTCATAATTCATGAAATTAATTAAATTCACAATTCATTTTATTTTGGGTCGGGATGTTACAAGCACGCCTTAGATAAGATCCTTAGATGCGACTATATGATCTTAATCGTTGAATTAAATTGGTTAGCCGTTAGTTTGATTCAATAGTTAAGAGATAAGACCTCATCTAAGGATTTTAGATAAGACCCTCACTATAAAATGAATTGCCTTATGTGTAGCCGACCAACTACATGTTGGGCATGTGAGCCTTGTAGAGCCTAATGCTGATGAGCTCACTTTAAATACTCGGGTAATGTCACGCATGATCGCTCTGTCTATTAAGCAGTTAATGCCAAAAACAAATATCGGACAATCAAATTGGCTAGTCGGTGGGATAGGCAGCAATGATGGCAATTAAAACTGGTCAATGAGTGCATAACATACGCTGATTACCAATTGGAGCCCTAAACTAGAAACAATATAAATATTCAGGACCTCCAGCCACCAAAGAATGTGATATGAGTCCAAGCAAGGGCAGAACTACATGTAGACTAGAGTGGGCTTCAGCCTGGTGCAAGATTTAATAAAATATTAATTTGGTGCAAATTTTATAAGATATTTCCTACTCCCCACGAATATTAGTCCACCATTTGTTAAGCTAGTTGGCCCACAAAGTCACATACTTGCAATATATTTGTGGTTTGGAGGCCACGTGAGTGGGAACCATTGTTTCTTCTCTTTTCTTCTTCTTCCGATTTACAGGTTAGCATTTAGATCTACAAGTGCAACAAAGCTTTTGTGTTTATGCCTCTGTGTACATGTTTTGGATATGCTACTGCTATGAATTGTACTTTTGTTCGTGTTTCTGCTTCCCACAGTTTCAGTTTCTGATTCCCACTTGGTTCTTATTGTATCAATTAGCATACCCAAAAAAAAAAAAAAATTGGTTCTCATTGTTTATATAGATCTTCTATACAAAAAATTAAAATTAAAATTTTAGCACACCTCTAGAAAAATTCCTATACAAAAAATTAAAATTAAAATTTTAGCACACCTCTGGAAAAATTCCTAGTTCCGCCATTGAGTCCAAGACTCCTAATTATTGTCTCTCTTTGTCTAACTTAAGCATCAAAGGCTGTTTCTTAAGCTCACACTAGAACCCAACTGAATAATAAACTTTTTGGCTTGAAATTGGTGCCATGTACGATTAGATAGATTCCTAATGGGCCACGTCAAAAGCCACCACCTATAGCCTAGTTGGTTGCAAATTGCTGGGACAGACAGCATCCGCCATCCATAGATGATAGAAAGACGGGGAAAACACAGTGATAGAATAATACAAAGCGATATCGTTTGAACAAATGTTAGATTATGGGCATTATGCTTTTATTCCAGAGGTAACCATCGATCGATCTTAGAAAGAAGGAATAGTCCTCACCTTGACAATCCCACTTACAGGGTAATCTTCTTGATTCTTAAATTCCTGACCAATATATCCTTAATTCTGTAATTATTAGCTCATAAAAATCTATATGATCTCTTTGTTTCAATTAATTTGTACCGCAGTATCATCCTCAAACCTAAACCCCCTCAAGCATCCCCCAGCTGCTGCCGACAAAGATAAGAGATTAATTGATGAGACGTACGGTCATGCATGCATTGCGTTTGCGTCGTTTAGCTAATTGCTTATAGCTATATATAGCATGTTGTTGATATATACCCTAAGATAATTAAGATTGAAAAACCCATGCATAGAGATCGAAAATGACAGCTACCTTAATTCCATAGACTTTAGTGATTCGGAATACGACCACAGAGAATATAGTTTATTTATTTATTTAATATGCTCTCACCACCTCACCTCAGATATGGCGAGCATCATCTCGCACATTCTTCAAATTGGTGGGTATATTATATATGCACAATCTCCGGCCCTAACCAATTATATCGTGCACCAGACCAGACCAGACCAGAGCGGTTATATATAGTCATTCTACTATACATTAATTTCAAGGTAATCTTTATCTAGTTTTTTCGTTTCCTACTCGATATATATGTGCAAAGAATTGAAATTATTTAACGTTTTTGCGACGGACTTGCATTGCTTTCATCATGCATACTGAAAACGATGACTCTAATCGGGCAGAGAAACAAGGTGATAACAAATCCGTAAATTAGAATTAGCTTTGGTGCTTCATAATTTGAAGCTATATATATATATATATATATCTCTTGCATTATTTCTTGATGAATTTTTAAGATATCTCACTTTCTTTACCTTTCATCCATTAAACTTTGATTTCTCAATGATCGTTATCCATCATTATTCTCTACTCTTCTTCTGGCCTCATACGCTATGTATCGATATAGTTTGAAGAACATGGTGTTGAATGAATATATTATATTTGGATAAATCTGCCACAGTTTTACTGAGTTATGTGAGTTTGTTGCAAGTGTTCTTAATTTCCAGTATCATTCATATATACATGTTCATTAAGATTTTCTTTGTATTATTAAGTAAGAGGGCTAGGATTTTCAAAATTCACTCTTCTAAACTTTGTTTCCTTAACCAGCTTTGTGGAACCTTGTTTCAGGTATATTCTTGAAGATGGATGATGTTGGGAGGTCCGGTGGAGCCAAATATGACTACTTGCTTTTTGGTAAGATACAATACAATGATGCAACTTAAAAAAGGCACTCACTCTCTATTTTTGTAAACCCTTATGCGAGCCAAGTGTGTAATGTTTTGATTAACCAGATGAAAATTGTAAGCTTTTTCTCTTCTTCTTTTATATGTAAATTTTATTGACTTTGAATTAATTGTGTAGATTTCTGGATTTAATTATTAAAAGCATCTCTTCTTTCAGACTTTCACTTGAACAACTACTCACTCTTCTGTTTGGTGGCTTCCCAACATGTCTTTCAGATTTGGATGATACTCTATACCCCCTGAGCTCAGGTCTCAACTTGTCATGCCGCAAGAACATTGAAGGTATGGCCTTAAACTACTACTAATAATCAGAAGAAGATGCTATATATTAGTCAGGTGATAATATTGTATTTCATTACTCATAATCATTAATAGATTACTCATAATGAGTTTGAGCAATTTCGATTCTAGAGTTCATGCAGCAGCACTTACACATAGAAGAAAGTAAGGTACCAAGGATGTGCCTGGAACTGTACAGGGAATATGGGACAACCATGGCCGGTCTAAAGGTAAAACATATTGCTGTCCAATCTCGGAGTTTATTTTCTATCAATCTTTAGTATCCTACTTCAATATATATATATATATATATATATATATATATATATATATATATATATATATAGAACTTTGATAGTTTCCATCTCTTCATCCAGGCTCTTGGTTATGAATTTGACAACGATGAGTTTCATTCACACGTCCACGGCAGGCTACCCTACGATTCATTGAAGCACGATATGGTGTTAAGGAACCTTCTGTTATCGATGCCCCAGAGAAAAATAGTACGTCAGTACTGGTTAAAATTTGTTCACATTACCTGCCTCCTGTTCATAGAGTTATAGCTTATGGTAAACTAAGATGCATCTACTGGTATTTTCAGATCTTCACTAACGCTGACAAGGCTCATGCGGCTCAAGTTCTCAACAGGCTGGGCTTGGAAGACTGTTTTGAAGGCATCATATGCTTTGAAACTCTTAACCCTCATCACCTTGAACCAGTTGATTGCATGACATCAGATGACCAAATGGTCCTCATAGAACGGACACCAGAGGGCAAAGCCAATTCACCAATTCTCTGCAAACCCTCTGTGGAAGCAATTGAAGCTGCTATTCGTATTGCAAATGTTGACCCAAAAAAAACTGTAAGATTGGATGCTTGGTTAAACTTGGAAGATCCCATTTTCACTTATTTTCTCGGTCAAGCCTTACTTTACATATTCTTTTGCTTCAAACATTATGGGGATTATTATTATTTTTTTTTTCGCAGATTTTCTTTGATGACAGTGCTCGAAACATAGCAAGTGGGAAGGCAGCAGGACTTCATACAGTCATTGTAAGAGCTCTACAACTACAAAACAAAAACAAACAAAAAAACTAATAGAAATAACTGAACCATCAGAGGAAGGAAACTTGTAGCTCATCATAAATAACTACAAGTTTTAAGCATGACTTGCTGATTGTCTTCACTACCATCAACAAACAAACAAGTTATTTGAACTTTAATTTTGTGAGGTTTTGATACAAGTGGGAAACTTATGGCAGGTGGGAAGTTCAGTACTAGTGCCTGGTGCAGATCATGCATTGAGTAGCATCCATAACATCAAAGAAGCAATACCTGAGATCTGGGAAGGGGAAGGGGGGCAACAACTAGAGCACTTTATAAAGTCAACTGCTGTTGACACAGTGATCCTTGCATAGGTCTTCTACCGACTGTGTCACAGTTTCAGTCACCTTGGAATGCAATCGTCAGTCAATGAAGTTTAGCAGTAATTTGGCAAAAAAAATTGAATTAAGGATCCTTACAACCAACTTATTATACATCTTATAAAACAATAGAGTTCAACTGATACCATATAATTCGTGTAATTGACTCCATGTAGTTCTTTTCTAAAAACATAGTGATAAGTGTGTCTCTGTTTTTAGTCCAAAAGAATACATGTCATGTTTGATGTACCTTCATCTCTAGCTTATATATTCCCATTTGAACTTTTCTCAGCGGAAATGAACAATCTTTCAGATGCATGACTGGTATATTTCATTTCACAGTCAAAATAAGATACATAGTTAAGAACAACTCTGGAATAGACAAACCGGAAAACTGCATTCCACAGTTATACTTTTTGACGAGTAAGAAGGCATTCAGTCCAAAAGCAACTCTCCACAGTTAACAATTCTGCATGGCAAACGAGGGACATCTGACCTGCTTGTCTCTTGGGATTCAAGTTTCCGCAGAACATCCATTCCCTCAATCACATGTCCGAACACCACATGGCGATTGTCCAACCATGGAGTCTACATGATGCACATCCAAAACATTAATTGACAAAGTTCTGAAACAGAACATAACTAACTCAGCTAAACAGGGTACATTTCAGTTAGACTTATTTTCTATGCCTGGAATGAACACAGTGATATAATACTAAAAAACTAATGTTTTTTTCCAATCATTCTAATGTCCTACTTTGACTGGATGTGTAATGATGTAAAAACCAAAAATTGATCCATAAATAAAAGTAAACCTTGAAAACCATTTGTCTCTGTGTGTGTGTGTGTGTGTGTGTGTGTGTGTGTGTGTGTGCATATGTGTGTGTGTGTGTGTGTGTGTGTGTGTGTGTGTGTGTGTGTGTGTGTGTGTATATCTCAGTTCTTCTTTCAACTGTTGATGGATCTCATAGATGTTGTATGGGCTTGTTTAAAGATTGATTTGAAATGTTCTGTATGGTTGTTTAGACGAAAACAAAATCAAATCTTCTCAAGAAGATTGCAACCAAACAAAGCAGTTGCACCTATTCAAAAAAAGTCAGTCCTGCCCATAAAGTATAGGAAATATAGAATAAAGCATACTGAGAATTCAAACAAGTCAGAGAAAAGTATTTAGTTAAATATGTGATATACAGAAAAAAAGAATTGCGAAGTTGCAGCAGCCATCTTACCTTCACTGTGCAGATGAAAAACTGGCTCCCATTAGTACCAGGGCCTGCATTAGCCATGCTCAGTACACCAGGGCCAACATGCTTCACTGCAAATAAGTGTTTTTTAATGTTAGTACTGTAAGGGCTTTCATCTAACAATCAAATGCCTCTCAAATGGAAGGATCTCAACTCCAAGTAAAAGTTCTCATTCAAATTGAAAATAGTAATATAAGCTCTATTCTATTTTTCTATGCTCTGTAACAAGAACATACATGCAAAGCTCTCATCTGCAAATGTGGAACCATAGATACTAATTCCCCCTGTTCCCTGCAGCCAGTAAAAACAATTAAATTTGGATAAATTTAGTAACCCATGAGCATCCTATCCTATCTTATTTATTAGAGAGAGAGAGAGAGATCACATCTCCTTCAGTGAAGTCCCCTCCTTGGATCATAAAATCTTTAATGATGCGGTGGAAAGAGCATCCTTTATAACCATATCCTTTCTCTCCTACAAGAACAATAATCAATATTAATACAAAGCAAAGAAGTAGAATAAGAGCTGAGCAGCAATTGGAAAGGGAAGAGAAAAGAAAGAAAGGTTTGCCTGTGCACAAGGCGCGAAAGTTTTCGACAGTTTTAGGAACAACGTCACCAAAGAGGCCCAGTACAAGCCGACCAACAGCTTCACCGCCAATTTCTGTGTCAAAGAAGCACTTGGTTGTTACTTTGGCTTGCAGCTGCTCTACATCCTAAAATCACACAACCACGGGAGAAAATTAACTCTCAGAAACTATTATTTCCATTCGGATTTTGCAAGTAATGCCCGTTTCTATAAGTTGTTTATTTCCTATTTACTGAAACCCTCTAAGCCATCTCAATGCTCCGTGCATTGTTGAAGGAGTGGAGAAGGAGAAGCACTCACATTTGACATAGAGTTGGTGCACATCATTGTTTGATGTTTGACAGAGAATCTGGATGCATAGGGAGGCCTGCGTAGAGTGACCTGCAACCTTGTAGCAGTAGCAGTGGATGTCACATATGGCATGGAACATTGGCTATAACCACCCTGGAACTTGGAAGTGCCCACACATAAAAAATAATTACATTTAGGACAAATTTAAATGAGCAAAGATAGGTAAGGCAGGCCTACTCTCAAAGTCTCAAGCTCAAATCAAATATTTGGGCCGTGGAATTCACCTGGAAATGACGGAAAGGAAGAGAAAGAGTGCTTCTCTGGGTGTGAAAGATTTGCACTGAGACAGCAGATGCAGAGGCCATAGTCATTGTCTTTCGGTTTTGTTCCTTGTGGATAGGAAACTAGGAAAGTCTTTCTACTGTCAACCTGAGCCTGGTAAAGTGGCAGTTGATATCGATTTCTGATATCTCATCTGTCAATTCATTCTTCAAATCCTCCGCCTACACAACCCAGGTACAAAGAAAAGAAAGAAAGAATTTGGTAAATGGGCTGAATTAACCTCGCAAGAAGAGTTTTGAGTGGAGGATACTGGGTTTGGACCCTAAACCCTAAAGTAGACACTGGGCCTCTACCAACCCAAGTCAATGAAGCCCGTACACGTACATATACAATACAATACAATACAATACAATACAAGCACAGAGAGAGAGAGAGAGAGAGAGAGAGAGGAGTAAACAAAAAACCAAAAACAGAGAAAGAAGATGCGAGTGAGTCAGATAACTGATGATGACTCATTCAGGAGGAGGAGAAAGCATTGGGTAGTCAGATAAGAATGGCTGTGTGTCAGTGAGTGAATGAATGAAAATGCAAAGCGCTAATATTGTCCCTAATTACACTTTGGTCCCTATCCCTTCTCCCACTGCTTCAGCTGCTGCAACTGCGAAGCCCTCTTTCTTACTGCTACTAACAGTAACAAAAGCAAACCCGCCTTCAAAAACCCCAAACCTTGCTGCGAGTGTTTTCTCGTCATCTTTTATAAAACCAAACCATTCCACCGTCTCCCATTCCAGTTGCAGACGTCATGCGCAGTGCTCATCTTCAAACAAGTTCGATTCGGCCTTCTTGTCTCAGGATGACGAGGATGATGATGATGACCAAGCTGTATCGGAGGATGGTAATGGTGACGTAAGCATAAATATGGATGCTGCGGCGGATGATATTGATATTGATATTGATGTAGAGATAGAGAAGACGGGAAACAACTGTCGGAGGATCCGATCGGAAATTGGGATAGGAGCCCCACTCAACACTGTCTGGAATCTCTTGACTGATTATGAGAGATTGGCCGACTTCATTCCGGGACTTGCCGTCTGTAGATTGCTCCATAAGACAGACAACTATGCTCGACTTTTTCAGGTTTGCTCCTTAATTTGCGTTGCGTGCGTCTGTGTCTGTCTTTTTTTCTTGTAATATTTCATGGGGTAGGCTCTCATATTTCACATTTGAAATTTCTAACAGATTGGGCAGCAAAACTTGGCATTTGGGCTGAAATTCAATGCTAAAGGAGTCGTAGATTGTTATGAGACTCCGCTTGAGACCCTTCCTAATTTGGGTCACAAGCGTGATATCGAATTTAACATGGTTGAAGGTGATTTTGAAATCTTTCAAGGAAAATGGTCTCTTCAACAGGTAAATTTCTCTTCTAAACTCTGTCTGTCTAGTGTACTCTATGGTGCAAACAATACAATAGCTTAGACGGAGGTAAATGAGGCCTACACTTTTAAAAGCTTACAGGGTCAAAATGAATGATTGTTGATGCAGCTGAATAGGGAAATATCATGTGACGACTCTTTGATAGAGCAGCAAATGCACACAACTCTTTCCTACTTGGTTGATGTAAAGCCAAAGCTATGGTTGCCCATTCGGCTTGTTGAGGGTAGACTTTGCAAGGAGATAAAAATCAACCTTGCATGCATCCGAGAAGAAGCACTGAAACTAACTCACAGTAACACTATGCACCACACTCGTTAAGTATTGCTATATATGCGCCCTGTTGTTATATTCATTCATCATTACATATTTATTGGAAAGTGATTTGTTGTAATCTTTCTCCAATTGGGTTCCTTGCGCATCTAAAGGAAACCAAGAATTGTATACAACTGTGAATAAGCGTGTACAATCCAATACAAATATATACAGCAGTCTAACCGCATCAAAACCAATGTTAACGAAACTCCAACTTCCTATATGCTACTAACCAATCCACTGTGGCTATGTGTTTGAATTAATATTATTATGCACACTGGTTAAGATATCTGGAACAATTGCATGTTTTCTGTTTCAAGGCGTTGCCATTATCATCGTATTCGAGCTCTTCACGGGCTCATTCGAAGACATAGACCTGCTGTTTACTTAAATGGAAACTAAAATGAGAAACAACAGGATTGATGGTGTGTTTCCCATCTTTACACTCTTCTTTCTAGTTTTGATCCATTGCTTTTTCTTTCTTAACTTTTCCTCGTAATGTTTTGTCCTCCATTCCTTCTAGATATATTAATGGTTTAAAAAAACCATTCTAGGTTGGTCGACCAATTAAACACCAAGCTTTGTCTCTGTCCAAACTTCAAACGCTCAAAAAAGGGACTCCGCCAACTTATTTTGGCTGTTGGTGTTGGGTTCAATGTCCCTACTTAAGTGGATGCTCACTTGGATTCAATGAACTTACTTAATGCATGTGGTGTTCTTTCCACATAGTACATTCATCTGTTGTATGTAAATGGAGAGTTGGATGCATTCTTTGTATGTGCATAGGTTCATTGGAGGTAATGAAAGAGTTTAGTTTCCACAAGGTTTCATGCATTTATTGGGGTGCATTGGTTCGTGATGTGGGTGGATTGTACAATGCATCTATGGCCTTCTCCTTGGCTATATAAAGGGAGGTTTGTTCTGAAATCAAGTGAGTCATTAAGGCATTAACTCAAGTATGAGTGTGATTCACTAGGGAGTTGGATCTGTATCAAGAGTCTGTATAACTCTTTGGAGAATCAAGAGAGTGAATTTCTCTTGGGTGAGAGT